TGCAGTCACACTGACACACTGACTGGTTCACAGACTTGCAGTCACACTGACACACTGACTGGTTCACAGACCCACAGACACACTGACTGGTTCGCAGTCACACAGACCCACAGACACACTGACTGATTCACAGTCACACTGACACACTGACTGGTTCACAGATCCCCAGACCCACAGACACACTGACTGGTTCACAGTCACACTGACATACTTATGGTTCAGACACATGACACACTGAATGACACACTGGCTTACATTTTGACTGGTTCACAGATACACTGGCAGACTGCCGCTAAAGCTGACACACTGAACTGGTTCAATGACACACTGACTGGCAGACAGGCGCAAAAACTGACACATTGAATTGGTTTACAGACACACTGATAGATTGACAAACAGACAACATACACAGCACCAAAATACCCTATGGCCCATCCTTAAATATTGCACCTACCAGAAAAGGAAACTTAAAATATGTCCACAATTGAGAACAGCAGGGCTGAAAGGGAAGAAAATAAAGAATACAAACTGTAAACAGTATTTCACAAACTACAACAAAGGAATGGCACAGACGTTATAAAAAACAGAACCCTATGGGAGAATGGGAAGATACTGTGATGTAACACAAAGAAATTAATAGGGTCCTACACAACCAGTGTGAAGAGTTTGCCACAGGATACACTCCTGTTTACCTAAGCTTTCCCATTACACCGATTTCCTGACATGCCTCACTGGCAGATAGGAACACTGACAGTCCGATTGATTTACTGTTCCTCTGTCAGTGTCACAGACAGCCGTGCCTGCAGCCTGTGTGTCTGTAGCTACACTGGGTCCGTGTGCCTAAGGGTATTTCTCTTTCCTCTTTCTGAAGCACCCTGTGCCCCAGCAGGTGCTAATCCTCATCTCCTGACCTGTGTGCAGCACTTTTCCCCTCCCTTCTGTGTGTGACATTGACATGACGTGTTGCTGTGTGGCCTCCATGTGTCATTTGTGGGTCTGGTGTGACATGCGGCAAGTGTATAATGCCTTGTTACTGGTGGCTTGACATATTTACCATGCTATTCTAGGCATGTTTGCCCCGACACAGCGGACGGAGGGCATTTCCACATCCGACATCATTACTCGCATTGTTCGTGACTACGACTTATATGTCCGGCGCAACTTGCAAAGAGGATACACTGCCAAGGAACTCAACGTCAGCTTCATCAATGTGAGTCAGCTCACTGACCTCCCACTGTGTAGCTCTCCCTGTCTCCTGCCCAAGTGCCCACCACCCAGCATCTGCATCTCAATATGGTCCTGTTTTTATATTGTAATGAACGCTCCAGGTTGTGTGTCGGTGGTGTAGGAATGACAGGCTGATAACAACTTACAGTGAGCCTTTTATTGCCTGTTTCATTACAGAGGGCATGCTAGTCACAGAGGCAGAGAGAGGAAGAAGGATTCATTATATTTATTTTAATTGATTACTATAAGTTTGGGTTTACTGTTGTTTTTTTTGTTGCTGAATAAATTAACTTTGCGACAACATAATATTTAAATTAACTTAAAGCCAACACCTTAGTACTTAAATTATCATACAACCATACTTACTACAGTATATACTACAGTACATTATGTGACAGTATAGGGGTGGACCAGGTCAAATATGGAATGGCTCTGCAGGAGCCTGTGCTGGAGGAGCATGTTCATGTGTCTCATTTTCTCCCGGGTGAGTGAGTCTGGAAGCTAACGTTGCAGAGCCAAAACTCTTTACACTGTTTGAAATCGGGTGGGGACAGAGTTAAGATAATAGTTGCATTCAAACTTGAGAAAAGAAAACTTGAATCCCGCCCCAGGAGAAGAAGTACCACCTGCAGGAGCGAGTGGACAAGGTGAAGAGGAAGGTCCGTGACGTGGAAGAACGCTCCAAGGAGTTTGTGCAGAAGGTGGAGGAGAAGAGCATCGACCTCATTCAGAAGTGGGAGGAGAAATCCCGGGAGTTCATCGGCAACTTCCTGCAGATGTTCGGGCCAGAGGGGGCACTGGTAAGCCAGGAGAAATATACTTTTCAGAGTGTGAGTGGGGTTCAGGGGAGGTCTTTCTTGTGGTGGTGTTGTAGAGTTGTGTGTATGGAAGCACTCTTCAAATCCAGTGCTAGAGGGGGCATTAGACCATCTGGTGTTCTTCCAGTCTTAAAGGGGAACTGCATTCCCAATATCCCAAGGTTATTAAATTTCAGTAACAAAATAAATTTATTGACAATATAAAGAAAATGACAAATTTAAAGCTAAGCACAAAATACTGTTTCTCTTTCGTTCCTCCTATTTCCTTTTCTATATTTCCCTCTAGATCTCACTCACTATGCCTCTTTTTTTTACAGTCCTTGTTAAAGCACTGTAAATCGCCATGTTGTTGCAAACCCCCAGTCTTGTCACGGGCGAGAGCGCGAGTTCCCACAAATTGTGATGGGATTCGGCCCTTCCTGCTCAGTAGTCACGGTAATAACTCATGTAATGTGATGTACAAGTTGTGCAGTAGACATTTCACCATAGAAATGTTCCAGTGTGATCTGCATGCAGAGTTTACAAGGAGGATCCATTTATCGGCAAAACTATCTTGAAGCTGAGAGCAGTGTTTCTATTGGATTAAAAGAAATGCATTCACAAGACTGCCTGTTTACAATGTGATAAGGCTGCTTCATGTCACCAGACGTTTTGTTGCCTTATTCTGAATCGCTGAATATAGCACTGTGCATACCTGGAAATTTAGTCTATTTTGTGATGTAAATTGGATGTTTTACAGGTTACTGTGTACATTTTATTTTTTATTAAAAATAAAATGCACTAATTTTATTGAAATGCACTCATCAGTGCTCATTCTTTCTAACCCTGAAATATAAAAATAGTATTGCAGTTCCCCTTTAATCAGAAATGGTAAATAAATCCCTGCAATGGACTGTTGGAAGTTTCAGGGCTTTAAAGTTGGATAGGCTGAACTGGTTGTGGAAAAGATTTGGGATGCAATGTAGGTGTGTAAACCATAAATAGGACTTTTCTTCCTTGATGTACCGATGTGTTAATTGGAAGGTGTTAATATTAATGCAAAAAGAAGCTGAGCAACCCCAGGCTGACTCCTGAGAAACAGGAGTCTCTCTTCTCTCCTGTTTTGCTGTCCAAGGCTGTTCCTCTTGCAGATACTGTTTCTCTTTTGTCCCTCCTGTTTCCTTTTCTGTATTTTCCTCTTGATCTCACTGTCCACCTCTGTCTCTTTTTCCCCTGTGTGTCTCACTTACTATTTCTTGTGCCTGTCTTAGAGTTGCTCTCAAGTGTTTTGTGTTTTTGATTTTTTAGTACTAAAATGCAGTTGTCCAAAGCACCTTTCCCCTAATTTCACTTTCATGAAAGGGGTGCCTCTTACTGACTCCAAAGGAAATACCCCAGATTTGACTTCATGGCAAAGTGGAATGGCTGACAGCTGTTTCTTATTGTGGGGGTCTTTAGGATTGATGCAAGTCTGAGGGATCTGCAGGAGCTGAGCAACCCCAGGCTTGAGTGTCTGTCTGTCAGACTGCCTCTCTCTTCACTCTCTCACGGTCTCTCTTTCTCCTCAGAAACACATGCTGAAGGAGGGGAAGGGGCGGATGCTGCAAGCCATCAGCCCCAGACAGAGCCCCAACAGCAGCCCCTCCCGCGAGCGCTCCCCCTCCCCCACCTTCCGCCTGCCCTTCTTCACCAAGACCTCGCCGCCCTCCTCGCCGCGCCCCAGCTCGGCCCACGGGTACCCCATCAGTGAGGATGAGGAGGATGAGGACTAGGTCTCTCCATGCCCTCCCCCCCCCCTGCTCTGCCCATTAACACGTCTCTTCCTGGCCTCCGGGTCTCTGTCTTTCCCTCAGAGGCCTCTTCCAGGAATCAGACCTGCCCACTGGCCCCTCAGACCCCTCTGTCTGCTCTCCTAGCAAGGGCTTCCAACAGCAGGTGGGGGGTTTTCCAAGAAACACATGCTTCTGGAGCTGTTTAAATCTCCCATCTGCGGCTTCGCTTTCACTGTTCTCACGCAGATCTATCCCGAGTGCTCACTTTAAAGATCTCGGCCTGGGGCTTTGAGCCGGTGGTGGAGAATGACTCCACGTTGCTGGAGAATGACTTCAGTGAGTGACGTGCCAGGCACCTTGATGACACATTTCCGCAACACCAGGTTTGACCTGACCTCTTGACCGAGGTAGTACTGGATTGATCAATACAGGAACACATGTGTATGGCTTTGCGTACGGCTGGTGCATTGTTGTGGCCGTCGGTCTGGCTGGTGTGGCGCCAGCAATGGCCTCCACCAGCACCGTGGTCCGGAGAGGACCATGCAGACTGATGTCTTGGCACACATGAGTTAAAACACCTGTCAGGTTGAGAGCAAGGAATGGGACATGTTAAACAGCTGTAGCGGCACATGGTAATACAAAAGGCCGTGTTAGTTTATTGGAAATGTCACCACATCTTATTTAACAGGATTAATTTACTCATACCTCTTTTGATCCTAGTAGTAAAGCATTTTTGAGGCCCTATCCTCTTTGCTGTTGAGATTTAGGGTTGACTCTGCTGATGGGGCGTGCCATTGATGTCCTCTGTGTTTTCTCAGGATTTTGCTGAGAATTTTGTTACAGTGGAGGGGCTGTCTCTCATACAAAAACGCTTTTATATTAAGCTCTCTGTGAAGTTTTAGTGCTGCTCCAAACAAAACTAGTGAAAAGAACTCAGATATGTTTTTATGGATTGGGCTTCATGGTTTTTCACTAAAGACATCAGTAGCATTTCTTCCTCCTTTTTAGATACTTTGTGTCACCCTGTGTCAATCAAACCTGGCTGTGATAACCGGTGCAATCAGAAGTCTAGTTTGAAAAGCAATTGTCTCCAGTCTGGTGGCCCTCATTAAAGCTTGTGATGTGCACGCAGGCTTGAGAGATTAGAGAGAGAGAGAAATCCAAGCTGCAAACAGCCATCCTGCTATGACAACCTCACACTGACTTTTATCAAAAGACTGTCTTATTTGTCTAGCTGAAGAGAGAAAAGGAGGCCTGAAGCACTGCTTTTCTAGGCTGCTTTAGTGCAGAGAGAGACAACACACCATCTCTGAACTCACAGAGGGCCCCATGGAGTTCTGAGGGCTCCTGAGCATCACTGGGCCTTTGACTCCTGTGAGTCTTCGCCCAGCTATGTGTCAGGACAGCCATGTAGGTAGATGGGCAGAGAAACGGTAATCTTGTGCAGACAAACTGCACCTTCTTGCAGTTGAGACACACATGAGGAAGAGAATTTACCTCCAGCACCGATATGGTTCCAGCTCTCCCTCTTCAATGGGGCTTTCTGAATACTCATCCCTCTGATTTCTGCAGATCAGACCATGGAGCTCTCTTGTCTGTCCAGATCAGGAGATGTCCGTCCGCTGTCCTGGCCTCCCTGTCTATTCACACCCTCCTGCTGAACTGGCAGAGCCTGTGGGGAAGGTCAACGCTTTGGATGGACCCTCTTTGTTTGCTTCTTTCTCCCTTAAACTAAAAACCAACAACCCGATGAAGCACCTTATCTTCCTCTTCAAATCTCCCTGCTTCACTCCCCTGGCCCCCTGCCTGGCGTTTTAAAAAACCCGGATGAGCTGAGTTTGACAGTTTAGCGGAAGAGAAGGTCCGTCTTTTTTCTTCTTCTCTTTCAGCTGTTTTAATTCTCTGCAGTTCAGTGACAAAAAAAGAAATCAAAGCCATAGATTTTTTTTTCTATTCTGCTTTGTTTGTTTTAAACTAGAAGGGATGGGAGTTTTAACTGTATTATGACTGTTTTCTGTCTTTGTGAGTCTTGGAATGCCTTACCAGCAGTGGTGTGGAGATCAAAGACAGGAAGGAAGTGTTTTGTGTCTTCTCTCGTGAGCTGCTATAAAAGTCCAGTGACCTCTCCTGGGTAAAACAAAACACACGCCGCTAGTGCACAGAGACTCCTGGCTGCCCCGGTGTCCGACAACCCTCTGGCACCGGAGATTGGCTGGAGTTGGATGATGTGTGTACTGAAGGGGTGGGGAGCTGTTGAGGGTGTGGCTGTAGATGCACGGAGTGACTTACAGAAGTCACGTCATCTCGCTCCAAAATTCCAGACAGTGTAGATCTCGACTGCTCGGAGGACCCTGTCTTTTCTGGAACCTGCCATTGTGCGGCTCTGGGCCTGCTGGTGACTGTGATCGAATCCAGGCAGGGGCGGAGTTGTGTAGAATTCTTCCGCGGCTGTTGGCCTGGTGTGGCGGGGTTATCCGCTGTCTAGGGAGCGGCGCTGTGTGTGCTTGGAGCTCACGAGCAACTGGGAGCGAATCCCGCCAGATGCAGGGAGAGTTGCACTCATCACACACTGCCATGTTGAAGAGCGAATGTGTATGTAAATATTTCTCTGTTCTTCATATTGAGCTGTATGGAAAAAAGAGGCATCGATCATGCTCTGTTCTCAGCACAGGACAGCTGGCCTTACTTTCCTCTGTTTGCTCCGATCTCTTTTCCTCCATCCAGCTGTTATCTTGAATTCTAGATCAATTGGGCTGGACCCTGTATCCCAGGCATCTTTGAGCTACAAATACAATTTTATTACCAATGAGGGGCATAATGTTAACTCATGCAGAGTATTAAAAGTTCTGCTTGTATTGTCTACTATGTGTATAACCGTTAGGCCCTGATCCCATACAATGATTAGCAGGTACAGATTAAAAATACAAACATCATCCTGGCTTGACTTCTTTTCTATGTGCCTGTATGTCTTCCAGGAATGAGCAGGTTAACAAGCAGAAACACAGTGTTTCGACTGTGGAGTCTTGCTCGCATAACTGGAGAGCCTCCACAGCCGAAAGGCTGATTTTATTTTGACATTTTCTGGGATGAATTTACCTCTGCTTGTACCTTTACATCTCCTCACTTCAACCTCTGCAAACTTAAACTGTACTTTCATTTGCTGTACGGTTGTATTAAAACTGTGTTTTGACCAATCAGACCGGAAGAAGAAAACTGTATTCTTAACCCTAGACAGTACTGTGAACTGTCAAGATGTATGTTTTTATTAACACTGTCGAGTACTGTGTGAGATCTGGGATTCATTAATTTAAGTTAACTTGACAAATTTTGTTTCCTGTTTTGTCTTCCTTTTTGCCATTAAACTCACGCAGACCAAGACAAAAACCGTTTCAGCTTGCATATTTAAATGTACAGGATCGTCCAGATCCGGGACACTGGGCAAACAGATCTTTACCACCAGTCTGGTGTTAAAGTGGAGTAGTGGCTGGCAAAGGGCTTCTTTACAGCTGGTGTCCTCTCCCGCCTGCAGTACTCAGACTGTCCTTGTGCTGGCTGTGCCTGGGGAGCAGGGCTATTCAGTCCCTTTCCTGGAGAGCCACTGGGGCTGTAGGTTTTCATTCCAGCCCTGCTCTTAGCTGCCCTCTTCCCCTAATTAGTGGCTTAATTGGATCGATTTAACAGTGGTGCATTAAACAAGTAGAGCACCATATACATTTCATGTACATTTGTTGTGCACTGCGTTCACCCAGAGCACCACATAGCGTGAGCTGACAGTCTGTGGGGCTGCTGCACTGTGCGTGCTTGAGAGAGGAGAGGTCTGCTGAGTCAGCCTCCGCATTTACAAAAACGCTATCATGAAAATTATAATCTGCTGTTAATACCTTCAGATCTATGCCTCAGTTTCTCAAGAATCTTTCAGAAACTGCCTCTTTAGTTTATTCACCCCCCCTTCAGCCTTGTGGCGCCACAGCAAAGCTCATCGAATTCATCTTTAGGAGCTGGTGGTTTAAAAGACCTACTAGACCAGTACCAGAATTCCCCTGCTATCAAGAATGGATAGCCCAGTTCTCAGTGGTCCAGAGAAGTTGATATTAAATATCTTATATAATCACTCTCCAGCCCGATCCTGGGAATATGGGAGTTTAAAATGGGCACTCAGTGGAATACCTAATTAAAGGGGTTGCAGGCCTCATTTTTCCAGACAGCCCTCTTGAAGCAAGAATATCACTGCTTCGCATCCTTCTGCTCCGGTGGTCACCACTCTGGAGAGTCAGGGTGTGGCCAGTGCCAGGCAGGCTGTGTGGGGGACACAGGGGTTCTCAACACCATGAACACCAGAAACGCCATACACAGCACACACCTCTTGTTGTTTTTGCTATGATTCTGTAATTGTTGCTGGTGTTTTGACAAATTGAATGGTCTTAGATTGTTTAGAATGACTGCTAACACTCAGCGTACACAGGCAGGCTGCCAGGCTGTGAGAGCCTGATGGCCAGAACACTGGAATGTGGCCCATTGGCTTCATTTTCAACTGCAAAGACTCCCATGAGGTGTTTTGAGAAATTAAAAAACAATCCTTTAGCAGTCATGCAATTTCAGCTAAATGTCCTCGCAATTACTCTATATGTGTGTGTGTGAGTGTGAGTGTGACTGTGTGCATCTTGGGTTTTTATCCGTGTCCCTGCAGCCCAGTGTCTGTGTGCAGGCTGTACTCTCTGTGTTAAAGAGACTATGATGGGGAGCATGAAACTCGGTTCCTGGAGGAGTTTTGTGGTCACCTGGGTGTCATTGCAACTCACATTTCTATTAATTAACTAATTAATTAACGTGAAATTGAGGCATCAGTGCAAATTTACTGATGTTTAATGCCTTCTCCAATTTTAAGACAATTTAAACTATATACTGTATTTGAATGTAAAATAGATGTATCAAAGCCAGAAACGGTAAGACTGTCCTGAGAGCTGTAGCAACACCGTAACTATCGTTCTAATGGTTAATCTCGGCCCCAGTTTGCTGTCGATTAAACCTGGAATGATATCATCCACACGCACAGTGCAGATGCAAATGGTAACAAAACAAATGAGGCGTTCCAGTGCTTTTGTCTGTGAGGGGTTGGGATTGAACTGGAACAAAAGAAGCCCAGCAGCTCCTCCAGGAGTGGAGTCGAATCCCCCAAAGCAAGCCTGCGAGTCCTGGACTGGGTTCAGGGTTCTCTGTTTGTCCATCTCTGATTGCCTGTTCGACATGTACTATGCTGTAACACGCTAATTTAAGAAAGTATGAAGATAAAAAAATCTAAACCTGGTTGTGAGTTCTTTATTCTGTTTAAGTGCAAAAGGTGACAGGGGGCTTGTACCCCAAGTGGACTGTTATGGATTTTTCATGCTGCTTTAGACATAGGCTAGCGACACATAGTGACCAAGTAATAATAATAATAATCGATACTAAGGTGGCAAGCTATAAAGAGTCCCATAGCTATAGGTGAGCACAAGGATTTTGAGGTTGATACGAAGCCTGATGGGAAATCAGTGCAAGTACTCTGGGACAGGAGTAACTTGCAAATGACCTTGTGAAGATTCTGGAGGCTAAATTCTGGATATACTGTAGTTTGATAAGTGCACATTTAGATAACCAAGCAAGTAGGGCATTGCAGTAAAATTGGTGAAATTCAAGTACAGTGGCATCCATAGCTAAGGTTGCTAAATTGGATCCAAATACAGTAGCTGATGGGAGATGTGGAGAAGCATTACTTCACTCTTCGCAGTTTAAATGAAGGAACATTTGTGTCATCTGGGTTTTTATGTCAGATATGCAACTAGAGAGTGCAGAAACAGCCACTTCAGTCTCAGGTTTAGTCTGTACATAGATTTGAATATAATCAGTATAGAAATAATAATTCAGACAAAGTGTTTTTAGTAACTGACACCATGGGAACATGTCAATGCTGAATAATAGTTGGCTGGGTATCGAACCCTGAGGGACACCAGACTTGAACCCAAGTTCAGAACTGGAACCCGCAAAAGAGAGACAAAGTGACAGCGATTAGTGAGGAGTTTCAGAGTTGAACCATTTAATAGCAATGAAAGAGACTCCGAACAGAGACTCAAGATGAGAAAGTAAGATGTCATGCTTAACAGTGTCAAAAGTAGAAGGATAAGGATAGAGAACTGGTATCGGCAGCCATAAAAAGATCGTTAGTGACTTTAACAAGGACAGTTTCTTTGCTGTGTAATCGTCTGAATCAAAATTGGAAGGGTTCAAAGAGTTTATTTGCAATGAGATGGTTGTTTAATTGAATTGCAACAGCACATTCTGTAATTGTTTCCAGAAAAGGAAGGTTGGATGCAGTGAGAAAATCATTTACATTGTCTACGTTGTTTTAAAAAGCTCTTTGGGCACTTTGGACTTCAATTTTAGAGAATGTTTTACTGTGTGGTGTACAATATCAATCAAATTGTATTTTATACCCCTTTTTATGTACATTTGCAATACAATTAAATTTAGGCAAATAAAAATAACAGTTGTTGGAATGTGATTGATGCTCCTTAATGTGATTAAGGAGCATATAAAACATATAAAGCAAGGAACATAATTCAAATGCCCTTTTTAATTGTGCTTTGCTATCATAGTATACAGAAATACTTCAAATACAACAGTATGTTAGTGATAGTTTGTGTTTAGCAGTTTCTGTTGTTAAAGAGCTGAATAGCAGTTCAATCTGTAACATCTCCAGTAAATTTATTTCCTAGATTTGGGACATTCAGCGGGTCAGATCATACAACAGGCTCCACCTGTACATGGAATGATGTCATCTATGCATCACCTGCAATTGGATCTTTCACTGACAATCCCAGCAGGTGGCAGCAGTGCACATAGAGTGAAAGCAGAAGAGGAGGACAACTGGATGCAGGAGCATTGCAGGATGAGGTTTAGATTTCTTTCTTTCTAGGCTGAAAATGTGGTGTTGGATCCACCTGCTTGTGTTTTAAGGGATATTGAGTTTTTGCTCAAGTAAAAATTTAAAGTTAAGAGATTAAATTCCTTTACATGACCTTAACCTTGGAATCATCCTTTATACTTAAAACTTCAGAGTTAGAGAGTTGCTTTTGTAGGAAAGGGTCACACAGCACCCCATAGAACATATAGACATTTCCAATAGTATAAGGCATACTCTTGTACTAGTCTGTGGATTGGAATGACCAGATGACCCTGTAAATGTCCAGGCCTTTTACTCCCTCAGAGATAGGAGAGTCACTGCTGCCTCATCTCCTTTCAGTGATAGGAGACTCACTGCTTCCACGTCTCCTCTCAGAGATTGGAGATTAACCACTCCCTAGTACCCTCTCAGAGACAGGAGAGTCACTGCTCCCTTGTACCCTCTCAGAGACAGGAGATTCACTGCTCCTTCGTACCCTCTCAGACATAGGAGGCTCAATGTTGCCTCGTCTCCTCTCAGAGACAGGAGAGTCACTGTTCCTTCGTACCCCCTCAGAGAGAGGAGACTTAATGTTGCCTTGTCTCCTCTCAGAGACGGGAGAGTCATTGCTCCCTTGTACCCTCTCAGAGATAGGAGACTCACTGTTCCCCCGTATCCTCTCAGAGAGAGGAGACTTAATGTTGCCTTGTCTCCTCTCAGAGACGGGAGAGTCATTGCTCCCTTGTACCCTCTCAGAGAAAGGAGATTCACTGCTCCCTCATACCCTCTCAGAGGAGATTCACTGCTCCCAAATACCCTCTCAAAGAAGAGAGTCTATAGACTATAGACTAATATTCCTGTTAATTAGCTGTGTTCTAAATTAATTCTACAATAGTTGACATTCAATTAATCATTTTGCTGTGGTCTACCTGGATGAAGGCACACAATCCTGCATTAGGCAAAATGGTGATCCCCTATCGTCAGAACAGAGCTAGAACTTGTCGCTGTCAACAGGACCACATGAGCAGAACTGCTGGAGGGACGCAGTGCTGCAGCCTCTAAATTCTGTCTTTGCTAAGCAAGAAGTCAACAGGGAGGCAGTCAGAAACTGGGCCTTCTTTTGCTTCCAGAGTAGATCCTCTGGGTATTAGCTGCATGAATAAATGAAGCAGAGCTGAATCCCACCTGAATCAGAGCTGCTCTCCTGCAGAACTGGAGCTGTATACAGTACATATAGCTAGTAGATGATATATAGTTAGGATCTCTCTAAGCGTCACAGCAGATTAATTAATTGACCACTGGCACACAGAAAAATATTTAGTGGCCTGATATATTTTCCCGTGACACTCCACTGTTTCCATTAGGGAAGTTTACAGTTTTACTCCATTACAGAACTTTTTTTATGTACATTAATCCGTTCATAGATTCCTTTTTAATGGTACCGTGCAGCAGGGGGTGCTTGTAAAAAATTGGTTACCTGATTAGTTGACAGTCTTCTCTGTCTTGAGCTTGCATCCATAATGACAAGCTAATCAGGGAAACTCTCCCTTCATACAGATGCTATGTTGAGGCTTACTTGGTGACTGATGGCTCCATCTGTCTCCTTCTGAGACTGGGCATTAAGTTGCAGTCAACCGTTCAAAAATAAATTTCACCCTTCAGGGAAGACGTTGTGAACTGGAAATTGGATCAGGTTTCATTATTCCTTTTGCTAATGCAGCCCCCTCACTTGTCTGTCTATCTCTCTGAGCTCTGTGACTGTGAGACTGTCAGACCTGGGCTTCCCAAAACTCAGAAAGAGAAATAAAACTTGATCTCAGCCAAATAAAACAAAATCACTTTGTTTCTTGACACTTCAGTTCTCAATGACATGTTCTGTAATGGCTCCTGGCACCAGGTGCTGTGATGATAAAGGTCAGTAGTCAACCAGCTGAGAGGGACACAGGCAGGATGGTGGACACTCCCCTGTGAGACCCCACTGGCTCTCAGTCTGTGCCCGGCAATTTCTCCCAGTCAGCCCCTCTGCCTTTCTCTTTCTGCCCCTCCCCAGCTGGGATCTGCAGTGCAGCAGACCTTGCTGCAAAGGGCTGAGGTGAACTTTAACTAGGAATGGAAAATCTCTTAGTGTGAAAGTGGAGGTGTTTTAATGGCCTTTTTTTTTTCTCTCTTCATGGGTTGACACAGGTGGATGGTACCACCAGAAGAGGGCTGAGAGAGTCTCCAGCAACAATTAAGTGGTCTGCATGGACACTGTGTGTACCTGCACAGCCAAAGGGCAAATAATTACTGCACTAGCAACTCTGTCAGTTGTAGTCAGGCAATTCTTGGTCTAACTTAAAAGAGGGAGAAAGAGCTTTAATATCACAAAGAAGTCCTAAATGCCTTCTTCAATCTTGGCCTTATATTGGACATCATAATAGAATATTAGATAACCTCATTGACTGTGACTAGCTACTGTATAACATATCTTGCCCTACATTTTTCCTTCATGCATTGCATCTCATTCCAAGTTATTAGAGTACTGAGTGTACCACAGGGAGCCAGTCTCTGGACTCACATGTGGTGGGCTGTGGGTTCCATCTTTCATGTCAGTTGTTCTAGTTCAGATGACTTAATACTACAGAGACCAGGATAAGCTCTGGCTTGATAAGCTGATATGGAAATTGTCTGTATATCTACTCTACAGTGTATTATGGTATTAACGTGTATTTGTTATATTATGGTATTATTGTTTCAATTATCTTTGAATTTGCAATATACATTTGTAGTTAATTATGAAGAAATAAAGGTTAATTCCATGCTGAAAAGTAGAAAGCAGAAACACAACATTTTGGCCATTGAACCTTTTTCAGGTGTGAGGCGCAGAAGTGTTTCAGAAGGACCATACAGAGAGTCATATTGGTCTCATAAACCACATCAGTGCAGCCCCACAGTAATTTTCATTTGACTTCATAACTACACTAACCTGACAGCACTAACAGTACCCAGCATTATCAAAGAAAAATAATCTCCCCACTTAAGTATTTTAAACATCAGTCAGGCCAGTCTGGATAATGGCTTTACAGTCCATTAATGAATTTTCTTTTGAGTGAAGGAAGGTCACTCTGTCTTGTACATTGACAGCTCGCCTATACATCATCAAGCCTGAGAAAAAGGGGAGACGTGTCTTAGCTCTGTGTGAGGCACAACTGAAAAAAAGCAAGAATCTCAGTCATTCATGTTGTTCTGTAGGGCATGATTTCTTGAGTTGATCTCAGCTGGGCCTCTCTCCCCTCTTTCTGCCTTCTCTCAGTGCTGCTATGGAAATGTGTTTTCTTACTGGTGATTTGTAAGAGCATAGAGAGAAGTCGCTACTCATCTTGTCTGAGTGAAACAAACTGCAGAAACTACACTACTGGGCACGACCATTCTGCAAATGATTTCTTTATCTGCGTTTCTCCACGTCACACTGGAAATGACATTTTTCCAGTTCATTGTCATCTTCCTGGCACCTACAACATCTTTGTGAAAAGCTTTGTTCCTTCTGTAACCAAGTTAAGACCGGAGCTAAAAGGTCAGTTTGTGTAGGAGGAACGGATCATGGAAAAATTGAAGCTTCTTCTGTCTTAGAGGACTTCTCATGATGAGTAAAGATATAGAAACCTGTCCATGAGATATTCAAATATCTCACTTATTGTATCACAACCCAAGAAAGATTCAGAGCTTGGTACTGATGTGTCGTCACTCCTTTTTGTTTTTTGCTGCTTCTGCATTTTAATCTCACAGTGTAATAACAGTGTTTATCTGTGTTGTGCCCTGTTAAAATGCCATAGAGCAGCTGTAGAGTGCACTGCAGAAACAGTTAACTTTGTTCAAAGGCCTTGAATTTAAGGTTCTGTGCACTGTTGTCCATAATGTTGTCCACGAGACTGAAGTACATTGAGTTTCATGTTCTCTTGAACATCTTATGAAATAGGGTGAGATTTTAAAATGGTCTTTGAACTGGAGAAATGAATGTGTGGATTTAGCATTACGCATTCGTTGAAATTAATACTGCTGCTTGAGCTCTGTCTGCTGCAACTAACACTCATCATCGACTACCTGCTATTCCTTCCGCTGATTATACAAAAAGAATGGCCAATCAATATGACTGATTTGCTCAGGAGAGTCAGGTTCTCTATGCAATTACCGACAAAAGCACATGGCTTTATTTCATTATTAACTGCAAGAAACAAAACCAAACAGGAATATCAGCAGTACAAATATACTTTACGAGTCTCCTTTTGTGTTGTCATTATTTCTGTATGGGGTAATTAAACAAAGATGCACAATTTAGGGCCACAATAATATTGTGCTTAAATGTTAATCTGTTAAAGGATTTGTCAAGGCCCTATTGTATCTTGGTGAACGTGAAGTCCTATAGTCACCCAATTCTTAGGCTACGTTCCCACTTTAAGGTGCCCTTTGTCCACTTTCAGAAACATGGCATGGTGAAATATGGGAGAGCATAAATACCATAGGTAAGGCACAGCATAATCTCCGAAATGCGAAGGCAGAGCAGGGTATATGTACAGCACATGGTAGACAAGGTAAAATCAGGGTAAACACCGAACAAATCTACCATGGCATGTTTATATAAGAATATTGCTGTTTCATCCTTTTTCATGTTTTGGGAAGCTTTCATTAAGACGCTGCTTGTTATGGAGCAATTCAAGCTGAACTGATTGAGTGACTCCTCCAAGTGACAAGGAGAGGGTATAACACTGAAAACTGGAGACAGTGACCAATACTGAACTGACCTGAGGTGAAACCAATTCACCACGCAATGAAACTGATCTCAGCCCTTCCTGTTCCTGTGCAGAGATAAAGAGGAATGTTAATTTCATCATTGCAGAACCTTCCGTTTCATTCCGTTCCATTTAATTCCTCTCCAATTATGAGGCACATTTCGCCCGCTCCAGCTGGGCTCCTCCGGCGTTTTAAAACTGTTATTGCTGAATAACTTAGAAAGAAAGAGGTATAGCAGCAAACGCTCAGATATATCCTGCATGCAGAGATGGGCTACTGTGTAGTCTGGGTTACTCATCCATAATGCAGGTGGAAAATGCTGCTTTGTAGCTAAAAGCAGGATTGTTACTACAAAGAGGCACTGCTCTCCAAAACCACAACAACAAGGAATACAATTCAGCCCTTAAAATGGAGACTTTGTCCCACTATAATCCTTAATTGGTTTGATTAAAAAAAAAAATCAGCCTGTTTCTCATGCGAAGGAACCAGATTTTGATCTTACACGACTTTTAAAGTGCAGGATGTGGGGGAACACATACAATTTTAATAAAATTAATTGCCTGAGGCATTCATTCATTTTAAGAGCATAGTGACACGTTTTATCTGATTTAAAAGTAAACACAAAGACACGGATGACTGCCTTCAATCTATAATGCTTGATTGGCCAACAAATTGAGATGTCCTACTTTATTCCCCATCATTCGTTTTCGAGGAGTAGTACCAATTGATCGTATCTCACAGGCTCTTGGTGGCGATTTTCTGAGGTGTTGGTGTGATCTTTGAGTGAGACATTGATCAGACCTGAAGAAGAGAGCAGGCATCTTGTAGTGAAGCCCAGCATTACCCACAAAGGGAGACATTGAGACAGCTACAGTCCAGCCTCTGTCTAATGGACACACAGTGGCATTGAGCTGAGACTCTGCATGATACAGATGAGCTCTGCAAAGGGGGATTTTTAAAGGAGCGTCCCAGAGGAAAAAAATACGGGAGAAAAAAATGGCTGTCTGTTTTCTCGAGATCTGCCTAATAAAAGATTGGTTGCTAAGGCACTTTAACACTGGGTGTGCCACAATATGCAATTACAATTACATCGACCTCACAATCAAAGTGATAATTAAGGTTCCTCATTTTTGATGGTTCCTGAAGTCTGCTTTTCTGTTTGGATATCATTGAGAGTTGCAGTATCATAGAAGGTAAAACTGACAGTTCTTAAAGGGCCACATAATAATCTTATAAAAAAACTATTAATTCTCACTGATTTTAGACACATATCCAAGATCACTGCTGCAGTACTGGGCTTATAGGCTTTCTGTGATATGAAAGTATGGAACATGCCATCCAGCCATGTTATCAGAGCCCAGACCCATGTTTCTTTCAAGGAACTGTTTGAACTGCTTGGGGTCTGATTAATTAGCCACAAGAAAATAAATAAGCTTAACGAGCCTCTCATTTGTAACCAGTTTCTTATGCTCTCATTGAATCTGAAAAGAAAATTACAAAAAGTTAAGTATACAATTTAACAAGTTTTTTCCCCAACTAAGAATATGGATGGCTCTGACAATGCACATGTTGCTAGAGGTCTTTCTAGTATAGATCTAAATTACAAACTGGGCAAGCATATACAGTAATAAATGACCAATTCCATCTTTTAAATAGATATTTAATGAGTTGATGTGATTGTATAAAGTAGATTCACCTTCACAGATTAGACATTATTCTCAGAATGGCTAAATTCCAGCCCTTTTGGGACTGCTCTCGTGTCACTACTGCTTGCCTAGATCCTAGGAATCTGGAAAACAAAAAAATATTGGCACAATATCTTAAGAAAACAATGCATAAGACCCCTGACCTTCGGTAAAATATTTAAAAAGAATAAAAATATTCTTTTCTAGTTGTCGGTACTAGCCACCAGCACACACATGACCCTGTGTGACAGGGTTTATTTAGCTTAGATCTCTTTGACACAAACCAAGTCCTGGAGATACTGGTCATTGACTTGTCTTCAACAGGAAAAAAAGACTGACACTCTCTCACTAAGAGTTTGACTTTTCACCCTAGCGTGGTCTCACTGCCTCTGGCCCCTGGCCTCTGCTCTGCACTACAGAGCTGTGAAACAAGATCTCACATCCTCCCAGCCTGTGAAATATATACCGATCATTCAGTCTGATCAGTTATACTGATCAGTACATTCTGATATTTTCGTCTGCTGTAACTCGCCTTCTAATACACACACACACACACACACCTTTGGGAAAGTTAAGGAAAGGTCACAGAACAAATCAAGTTTGGCACTTGGTTCCATGCATTAGCAATGGTTTAACAATACCTTCTGGTAATTTCAGACAAATCTATTCAGACATATATTTGGATTAAAAAAAAAACACAACTGTCATGTCTTCTCTTTTTCTTTTGTCTAACTTAAACACTACTGTGCTGACTCAAAGATTATCGGTCCAAAACACCACTTTACTTTCATATTGAACCCCAAACCAAAACAATAAGGTTTTAATTGAACCAATTAAATACTTCTCACATGCAGGTGGTGATTTAAAGAGAGATGTTTGATTTATGGCGCTCAGGTATTAGGTCTGGGAGTTCTTGTGCACACTATTTTTTCTTTCAAGGTTCTCAAATTTAAGAAAAAATGATTTATGATGCACAACACAGTGTGACTCAGTGGAAGGAATCTTCCTCTGTTCACCACCAGAGGGCCCCTAACACCACAAACTCAGCCCTCTAATTGTTTCTCTCACCCCGATTGCCATGTGAAAATGTCTTATATCAGCACCACCTGAGCTTCTAATTAAGAACCCTATATCACATTCCCACGCGACTTGCCCTTCGTTTGTCCTAGAACCATGCTGTTGACTCCCAGTTAAGGTCCTCTCTTTCCCATCTCTAAAAGCCTTGGAGGGTCTTCTTGAGGTACTGACTGTTTTGCTGGTGAGAAGGCAGTCCCAATACCTATATTGTTACAACAGGTTTGTACTGTACATATATATACACATACATTTTCTATTATTTGGCCAAAATTCATTTCAGTATTTAACAATTATATTCTAATTAATGCAATTAGCTGACAAATATAAAGAGATCGTTTACATAATTTAGTATTTGGTGTTAACTTACCTGGTTTAGGTATTGACAGTCCTGGCTGGAATGTAAAAAAACTGCAACTCCCCCCCCACCCCCCACTTACAAGGAATGAACCACGGAGGCTGCTATAAGGGTGAAGGTGGGGTTAAAGGAGGGGTGCTTGAAGAGATGAGAGGAAAAGGGTACTAAGCATTTAATATTTGTGTGTAAGAGAACAGAACTGCAAGATTACAATTTGAGCTTCTCCCGAACCACTGTTTAACACCACCATTTATACAGTACTCCTGGTCTTAATTCCTGCTAGCTATAGTATGTGTATGAAATCACATACTACTGTAAAGTTGGTGATGGGTGGAGGCTGGTCAACATTAGGCTAAAGACAAAAAAATCTAACCTGGGGAATAAGCGGTAAATAGCTCAACCACGTTGGCCTGATTTTGCAAGAGCTTTCATGGCATTTCATGGATTACAGTTTGTTTACAACGTGAATCAAATACATGTCTGAAGCAGGAAAGCTGAGGAGCAAAGCAGGAATGTCAACTCTTGTTAAGATCTGAGTTACAGATAACCTAAAGGAAGAGTTTGTAATAAGCACTTCTTCCAAAACCTTTCTGAGACTTTGGCCAAAGATGGATTTCACACCATGCTAAACCAGTGCCGACATTAACCAAAATAACTTAAGTAAGACTTTTGACAGCATCAGGTTGGTTCCTTGAGAACACACTTTTCACATTACAATGCAATGTTTAGACATCTGTGAGACAGGGCAATAGATTCAGACAAGATGGCAGAACTACATTTCCCAGAAGTTGGGATTTATTGACCTGCTGCCCATTGTCACCTGACCAGTTGGAAGCAATGGGATTTATCAGATGACAATTTGAAAACAAGGAATAGAGGCATTTGCTGTTTGCACAAGAGAACAGGTTCTTTATTATGCACAACAGTTGAGGGAAAGGGAAGATGACCAGTCAAACGGGGTATCTGGATGTTGCAAGTGTAACAAACAGTTCTTTCTGACCCTCTGCGGACGACAAGATCCAGGGAAAAGAGAGGAAACACTAGGAAAAAGATCAAGCAGGAATACGGGGATGAAAACAGGGGGGCGTGTCCAAAGCGTGCAGGTGTCCAAGGGACTGAGTTCGGGGCAAACAATCCAAAAGTAATCCAGAGGGTAATCCAAAAACACAAGAATAAGTCCATGGCCAGGTGATCCATCCAACAAGGAATAAAAAAACATGAACCGGGTCGGAACCGGCGGAAGGGGAACGGGAACAGAGATTAAAACCTCAGCGGGACCAGGCTTTTAAGGTGGACTGGGAACAGGGGACAGGTGCACATAATCAAGTCTGAAGTGAAGGGCTGGAGCACCCTTAACGAGGAGGGACTATAATCGTGACAGCAAGTTAAAGAAAAAATTGGTTTTGATACTGGGAAGCCTCTTAACTAGCTATTGCAGAAAGGGCCAAAATGAAGAGTTTGGGCAAAGTCAGGCTTCTGTTTTTTCCTGCCTTGTAAATACAGAACACTATTACCTTATGGCTGTCTTTGTGTGGTGTTGCCTTAGGCCTTCCTATTTCAGATCCTGCTGACATATCAGTTCTTCCAGGCAGCTTTACAAAACCAGCTTCAAGCCAGTTCAGTTCAGTTTATTTGTCATATGCACAAGTGCAATGAAATGCTCTGATACAAAGACATTAAGGAATCACCAAAATTTTAAACACAGAACAGAAGCAGCAGTAACAGCAACAATATAACACACAGTACAACTCAAAAACAAACAAGTCAGAAAAGCATTGTGAGAAGAGAAAAAGAACATCAGTGTGAGTCAGTGGTAGGGGTAGAGTTCAGTAACCTGACAGCTTGTGGGAAAAGACTGTCTCTGAATCTGGAAGTTTGTGTCTTTATGCTCCTATAATCCTACATCAGAGTGAAGGGGAGAGAAAAGTGAGATAATTGGTATCCTTAACAATATATCCAGCCTTCCTGAGACAGCAAGTTGTAAAAATAGTTGCAGCACGTTGCAGCCTGGTAGGGTTTGCTGAAAGAAACTGGTTAGCACAAAAACTGTAGCCTACTGTTGCCTCGGTAACAGCGAGGGGAACTGCATCCTCCAAGAAAGCAAAAACCTGCAGCAGAGTGCTCCCCCTGCAGGAGCTCCCCCGATGTTGGTCCTGGTTACAGCGAGTCCTCATAAGACAACTTTCAGGCCTCTGTGCTTAGCACCAGTGCTCCCGCCATCAAAGGCATTACAAAGTTGTTTGCTTCTTACTCGTTCAGAAAACCCCCCGTCTGCTGTGGAACTGAATTCGATTAGGTTGATTGCACTTTTAATAAAGTTTCATTTCCTGCAAGCGGCAAATTGATGGATGGTTTTCTTGGTCCTATTTTATCCTTGCAAAGACAATCTAATTAGTTTATTGGATAACGAAAGACTTAATAGTCCTATTGTGGAAAATCGCAATGTCACAGAGATTAATATAACATACACAGACAGGGGCCAAGCCAAGCTATACCAGCGTTTGTGCAAACATTAAAATACTTTTAGCAAATTCAAGGTTTATTAAAGCTTGATTCGAATTTAGCTCTTTTTATGAAATACAACCGTTTTTTTTATTATAATGAAAGCTTGATATTAAAACAAAAAAGAAAGGAAACAGATGGATCTAAGGTGGAAAAAAAGCCAGCTTTCTAGTCTGGTTAATTCAAATATTTATTAACAGTTGGTTTACATTGGACATCCCCCTCCTAAACCCTAAAACTAATTTTTCTTGCAAATCAACACGTTAATCCCCAAATCTGCATGGTCAGCCTGTCAGCATTGTACAGGTAGCTGTAAAATATGACACGGAAAACACTCAAGATATTTTTGGAATTGGAACAAGGAAGGAGCTTTTTGAGAACCTGCCTCACAGCCATACAGACATGTCTGGAGCCTGTAGTGTCCAGAGCCTCACAATTAAAGTGAGAGGTCTGCCAGTTGCTTGTTTTCTGTGCTGCTAATTGTTAACATCAATCATCTATTAAAACAGGGCTGCATCAGCCTTCCAATTAGCCCTTTAATGGACTGATTTAATTGAATCTCTCTGCCAGAGTGAGATGGACAGAGCTATCATTGATCAAGGGATTAAAACAACTGTCATGCAGAGCTGTCATGCAAGGTGAATGTCTACACAAAAAGCTGAACAACAACAAAAAATAGCCCGTAGTTCATCAAATTAACACCTTAGGTCTTCCTCTTCAGGACAGCGAGAGTAATGGAAGAGAAGGATGTCTCTGAGCACCTTTTGTGTGTGATCTGCTTAGTACCCAAGTGGCACACTCTGCTTTCTGCATGATCTTGGAATCCATGATAGTCATGATGCCAGTCTGAACCAGGGCCATGAGGTGAGTACAGACTACATCTGAATATCCCCAAAACCCTCTTTAAATCGTGAGAAGAGAAAGAACACAACGGTATAGAAATATCTGTAAGACAATGCATACTTAACTTTTTATACAGTATTTCTTGCCACTTAAAGGCCAGAAATTGAAAAACGAGCAGAAGAAAAACTAAACCTCAACACTGATTTGGCAAAAGTCTATTAATGTACGATTTCATAAAATGCCGAAAAAGGTTATACTTGTTCCCTGGTATACCCAGTTGAGCTTTGACATCTGTCAATATGACTTTTAACATATCTGTGAAGAGACCAGCACTGGATGGTCTAAGCCTATTTAACAGACCCAGACTGACCCACTGAAATGTTCCTTCATCCCCTGCAGCAGTTTGTGATGCTGCATCAGTAAAGAGACCAGGAATGGAAGTGCCTGCAGGCTGCTGTAGGCGGACCATGCAGTTTGTCTCTGTAAAGAGTTAATCATTAATGTGATTATTTACCCTTAAACAGTGTGAAAGTGAACTCAGGACCCTCTACATCCAAAGGCAGACAGACAGCACTCCCTATGCTAATTAAGCCATGTGTAACATCTGCTACATCTAGTTTAGCCTGACCTGTTCCGCCTGGGCCTATGTAGCTACACAGGAAGTGAGCTGACATTCTGCTATGTTGCCCTTCCCTTGTGTAGCAGGGTTGTAACCCACGTGGCTGAACTTTAGATCTGCCATCTCTGAGAGCCCATGCTATACAATGCAACTTACTTCAAACCTTGTGTGCCAAAAAGCTGCTTATGTTTGTTTCTTTAAGGAAAAGCATCAAACTGATACAAATTGAAATACCTGGCCCTGAAGTTGTTACTAAAGTGGTCACTAAAATCCACGTGATCCAGAAGGGGAACACAATCTGTGAAAACATTTGTTATATTGTTTTTAAATATCTACCAATTTTTGCCTTGTTTCTAAACTCTTCCAATTCCTTCTTGCATAACATTTTATTTGACAGGGAATAATGTAAGGATGGCATGAACAGCAAATTTATGTTTGAGTGTGATGGCATAACAGTTAAATTGATAAACTGACACAAATCAAGTAGTGTAAATGGATTTCTTATTAAACGTTATTTACATCCCTTTTAACAAGGGTATCTGGTCCTGGTCATGGTGAACCAGGGTGTCTGTGGGTTTTCATTCCAGCTCAGATCTTAATGTGTTAAAACACTTGGTTGCTGGACCAATTTACCAGCTTCCCCCAGCAGTTTAGACGTGGCTGCTTTAATGAGACCTTGAAAACCTTCAGACCAGGATCGGACTCCTCTCCCTCATAAAGATGTCCTTCCAGGGCACCTCCAGGTTCTGAGAGCCAGAATTCAGCATGCTGTCTAGACTGCTCTAAAAGTTTGATTCTATTTGCAACATAAGCTTTAAAACGATATTAAAACCACCCTTCTGTGTTTATAAGTGATGAGGATATAAGTTACCTATTGTAGGGAAGGAAGTTCAAAATGGGCTTAACTATGAGTACTTCTGTCTCCTGAATGGTTGGTTGTTCAGATCCAGAAATTAAGTCTAAATTTTTCTCTTTATGGGAATGATATGGATATGATTGTTTTCATATCAAATGACCCAGTATTGCTATCTACCTCCAGTCCCTGCTGCCTGCAGTAGTTTCAGGTTTTATGCCACATAACCTCATAATGATATAATTGAAATAGAGGTTTGCCACAGATACTCGTGTTGGAAACTTGCACACCTTTCTCAGGTCGGTGCCAGGCATAAACAGACCTGGTATTTGAGATCACTGTTCAGTCTATTATGATATGAGAACATAAGTGAGTGAGACCAATGTTATTAATTGTTACAGCTATGAGAGCATGACCTGCTGTTCTGAAATGCCTTAGCCTATGTATTCCCACTGATTGATCACCTGTGAATAGTGGGTCTTTTGAATAGGTTTGTTTTTGTTGTGTCATCGCTTTTATAAATAATGAATAGTTTCAACAAATTATATTTTCTCTGGTGGATATGTCTTTCTGCAGTTATACAATGTGCCAGTGAAAGATTGGGCAGGTCTCCTAGTATTGCAGGATTAAAATCTGCACATTTCATGGTTTATTACTGTGATATGACAAGTTAATTCATCTGTGAGGGGGGAGAAGAGACAAATGAGAAATGAATACAAATGGCAACCATGTTGTAAATCTCCATTCATCTTAGACTACAAGCCAGGGACTGGAGAACACTGGAGCGCAGAGTCAGCGCGTCTTTCTCGAACTGCCCAATAGGCAGAGAGCTTCAGGGAAGCTTCTGTTTCTTTTTTAACATCTGTCAAAGGCTTCAGTTTCAAGAAGGGAGTGGAGGGGAGGGGAGGGAAAAATATTAACAGGCACACTGGTGACTAATTGCAAAAGATGTACAGTAGGTATACAATGGTGATAAATGTCCATTGTTGGTTTCTCTCAATTGCAAAAATACGTTTAAAAGAGAAAAAGCCCTGTGTGCAAACTAAGAAAACAGCCCTTAACTTACCTGCCTATGCCATCCTTTACTACCAAAATAGAAATGTTCCTAAGTTTGTGTCACT